TGAATTCACTCCAGTCTGCTAATTTATCCACCCAGGGGTTAACTAGATAGTAATCTGTCCCACAGATACGGGCTACATAATCTTTACATGTCTCACCAACATTTGGGGGAGGGAGTTTATCCTTACTTTGACCACTTCCCATTTTTACACTTACAAAGGTCTGTGTTACAAATCTGTCCTATAGGCTGTCCCAAAAAACAGGGGTCAACTTCCAAATGACAATTTACTTTATAAAAATGTCTGGACTTAAGATATTTATTGGGTCTTTCTCTAGTGGTTGACCAAAAGTGGAGATTATAACCTGGATATACAATAATACTTCTAATAATATCCTGACTCTGACTAACTCCCACTTTTCTAACAATAAGCCTACAACACAATTTGAACAAGACATTTACATAGGCACCCAACTCCGTGTCACCATGCTATCACCTTCTCTAGGTCATCAGCCAATAAGGCCTAGCTAAAGGGGTGGTGCGTCTTACAACGGAAGTTGACAATACCTTCAGTGACCTCTGGCCCATACACTTACCAACTGGGCACTTGTGTCACACAAACAAATTATCTTATACTTCTATGCGATAGGAAGAAAAGCAAAGAGTTGCAGGACAGAATTGATCAGCCCCGGACTTTTCCTGGTTTCTTCTCAGAGAAACTCTTTTCAGCCCCTTCTCATAAGAGACTGTGCAGTTCCCAAAACTGCTCCTGGTCTTTTCCAAAAGACCTTGTGCTCCCCCACAGCACTTTGCGCCTGGCCACTAGCGTCTTTAGACGCGAAGCCCGGTGCTACCTAAGGGCATGAGATTTTAATCAGAGCCCTTCCGGCAAGACAGACTAATTGACAGAATGACAAAAAATCTTACCTACCGAAAAGGATGATTATCTCATCCCGGACACGAGCCCCCAATTGAAAGGAATTGGCTCCTCTCGTTCCTTCCTGTAGCTACCGACTCCCGTCAGTCCCCTGGCCCTGATCAATGTCTGTCTACAGGCCTGGAGTCCCCTTTGAGATACAGGAAATTGCACACAGACACAAGGTGGTATCTCAGAAGGAACTGAATTTATTCTTCCGTGTTCAAACTTATATATGAAACTTAAAACAATACATGGAAATATAAGAACCAATCAATTGACAGGTATGCATTGACCAATCAGAATATTATATACGTCAGTAATGCCCAATCATTTAGCATTTATGTTAATTATTATTATATGCGTCAAACATTAATATAGAAAGTAGACAACTTCCCTTTTAGCGCTGGCTATAGTTTATTAATACTCTTGCAACAGGAAAAAGCCCACCGCAGACTTTCAGTCTTGTGCTCGGTAGAGGAAAAAAGGAAGTTACATCTGAAGGGAAAAGAGGAACCTCAGACTCTTATCGAAAGTAAGAAACAGTCTTAAAACACAAATTCATCTTTAAGTACTGACATAAATCTCAAAATGGATTCTTATCTTAAAATGGCAGATCTCAGGTCAAGAGACAATATGGCGGTATGGTCTTTGTACTACATAGCTGATGGGAGGAAGGTAATATTGTAATGAGGGAGGTGTGGTCCAAAGTAATGAACACACCCTATCACACCCTCTTCTGTGATGCAACAAGGAAGTGAAGGCTTCTGGGAGATGGCCTACAGGAAGTGAATGCTGAGAAAACATCTACAGTAAATTATGCAATCTGAAAATCCATTCAAAATCTCACAAAAACTGATAAAAAATTAAATGTCTTGCGGATGAGGTAAGTGAGAGAAAAGCATATTAGGATGGCTGAGCCAGAAAAGGCATTGGAAAACGCTTCTATTTATTATGAAAAGTGAAATTCTGCCCAAAAAGGTGAATTTATCCTTTAATCCACTAGCACTTGAAACTAGTTCTCACACCGCTTATTGATAATTCACAATTTACTTGGATTGCAATCTGAACTTTGCACTTTCACTACCTTTTGCAGTCTATGCACTTAGTTTTTAATTTAGTTTATAGATTACTATAGATAGATCACCTATTTTTAAACATGAATGCTGTTTTTTTATACTTATATGATTTTTGCAGATTTTTTACATATATTTATTATTTTATCATTTTAGCACTGTGAATACATAGTGATTATTTGCTATATATCCCTTAGGATATAGCACATCTGCTTTAAGTTAATTTCATTACAGGGAAGCTGTGCTAAAGATAGTTGCTGAGCACACAGTATCTGTGCATATATTATCCTAAACCACTGGTTAAAAGTGTATGCATGGGTATATTGTAAAGTTCTATATATGATAAAGGCCATTATAAGTAATAAAACAAATAAATTATATATATATACACACATACATACACACTCACCGGCCACTTTATTAGATACGCCTGTTCAATTGCTTAGTAACACAAGTTAGCTAATCAGCCAATCACGTGGTAGCAAATCAATGCATTTAGGCACCTAGACATGGTGAAGACAACTTGCTGAAGTTCAAACTGAGCATCAGAATGGGGAAGAAAGGGGATTTAAGTGACTTTGAACTTGAAATGGTTGTTGGTGCCAGACGGGCTAGTCTGAGCAGTTCAAAAACTGCTGTGCAGGGGGTGGGGTTCTGTGAGGACGTCTACAGACGCCCTCTCAGGATTAGACAACCGTACTGTAGTTTTTTTTAGCTATGGTGCAGTCTGGAAGTGGTTAAACGTCACTAAAGATCAGTCTTGAGATCAGCTTTCAGAACTCATCAGTTTTCCTACACCTTAATGTACATGTAAATCTAATAACTGATAGCACATATAAAATGCTAATGTAGTTTCAAAAGGCGTTTTAAAAATGTTTACATCTGCAGTTTTTCAATAAATAAAATATTTTGCTCCTGACATGAAGATCTTTGTTAATCACTTCCAATTATAGGGCAACAACACTCTGTCCCTGTCCTTCAATTGTGCTGTTGTGTTGTCTAATGGAGACTACAAGTGGCCATTCCAACATAAATTACAAAAGCATGGTTCATTTTTGCCAACATAAGAAAATATGCCCTGAAAATATCATGCAGCCCTGAAAATATCATGCTGGAGTACAAACATGTAGACAGAAGGTGGTTGAAAGAAGGTTCTAGTGATCTGCAACACTAAGGTGCAACAAAGGATGAAAAAAGGTGAGCACAAATATTTTGTTGACCAAAAAAGACAAACAGTACACATTTCTTTGGCAAGCTAAATGTTATGTTAAGGTGTATAGCTACTTTAACCACTTGACCTCCAGAAGGTTTAACCCCTTCATGATCAAGGCATTTTTGCAATTCAGCTCTGTGCTACTTTAAAGTGATACTAAAGATTCACTTTTTTTTAATAACAAACGTGTCTATACTTACCTGCTCTGTGCAGTGATTTTGCACAGAGCAGCCGCAATCCTCTTCTTTTTGGGTCCCTGCTAGCACCTCTGGCTCCTCGCCCTCAAGCAGTGCCTCCAGGAAAAGCCACTCTTCCTGGGAGCACCGCTGCATGCTCGTTCACGAGCCGCTGCGTAATGCATCCGTAAGACTTGCCCCCCATTCTTTCCTCATTGGCTCACTGGCTGTGATTGACAGCAGCGGGAGCCAATGTGGAGGAAAAGTCCCCAGACAGCAGAGGTTGTCGGGAAAGTCACTGGATCAGAGAGGGATCAGGTAAGGATGGGAGGTGGGCTGAGGGGGCACGCTGCACACAGAAGGTTTTTAACATTTATGCATAGAATACATGAAGGTATAAAATCTTGAGCATTTAGATCCATTTTAATTGTCAATTGCTCAGCTTGAAATACTGTACCCAAATGGAATTTATATATTTTTTTCAAGCAAATAGAGATTTCACTGGGTTTTCTATTTTTTCTTATATAAACAAAAAAAGGCTGAATATTTTGAAAGAAAAAAAAATATATATATTTTTTACTTTTTTATAAAACATAATCAATACAAATCAAATTTCTTCATAAATTCAGGCCAAAATGTACTGTATCCTGCTACTTGTCTTTGGTAAAAAAAATCCCAATAAGTGTATATTAATTGGTTTGTGTGAAAGTTATAAAGTATAGTATATATACCAGAATTTACACAGCTATAGATGCTATGCGACCTCTAGTAAGACTGTGATAGTGTGGAAGGCAATCTGGTGCTGACACTGGCTGGGAGGGACACTGACACTGACTTCACTTGTGACACTAATACAGTGATCAGTTATAATAATGTACACTGTACTAATGACACTGGCTGGGAAGGGGTTACCATTAAGGGGTAATGAAGAGGTTAATTGTGTGCCTAAGAAGTGTAATGCTTTCCTGCTTTTACTCACAGATCTGGCTGTTTTTCTCCCCAATTTTCCGGGAGAAAAAGCAGCCAGATTGCTGTTCTGTTTACACAGAGTGTGGTGTGTTTTTAAAGACAGAACTCTGTGCTGCGATTTGACACAGCTATTCAGCAGGTTTAATCTGAAGCCCATGTGAAAGATTGACAATACAACACCACAGCTGGAAGACAGCAAAATCATCAGGTATTACCATATTTTTCGCTCCATAAGATGCACCTGACCATAAGACGTACCTAGGTTTTAGTGGAGGAAAACCAAAAAAAATTCTGAATCAAGGCTACAGACATAGTACAGGAGATGACCAGAGACTGCAGACATAGTACAGGAGATGGCCAGAGACTGCAGACATAGTACAGGAGATGACCAGAGGCTGCAGACATAGTACAAGAGATGACCAGAGACTGCAGACATAGTAGAGATGACCAGAGACTGCAGACATAGTACAGGAGATGACCAGAGACTGCAGGCATAGTACAGGAGACGACCAGAGACTACAGACATAGTACAGGAGATGACCAGAAACTGCAGACAAAGTACAGGAGATGGCCAGAGACTGCAGACATAGTACAGGAGATGACCAGAGGCTGCAGACATAGTACAAGAGATGACCAGAGACTGAAAACATAGTAGAGATGACCAGAGACTGCAGACATAGTACAGGAGATGACCAGAGACTGCAGGCATAGTACAGGAGACGACCAGAGACTGCAGACATAGTACAGGAGATGACCAGAGACTGCAGACATAGTACAGGAGATGACCAGAGACTGCAGACATAGTACAAGAGATGACCAGAGACTGCAGACATAGTATACAAGATGACCAGAGACTGCAGACATAGTACACAAGATGACCAGAGACTGCGGACATAGTACAGGAGATGACCAGAGTCTGTGGACACAGTACAGGAGATGACCAGAGACTGCGGACACAGTACAGGAGATGACCAGAGACTGCGGACACAGTACAGGAGATGACCAGAGACTGCGGACATAGTAGAGATGACCAGAGACTGTGGACAGTACAGGAGATGACCAGAGACTGCAGACACAGTACAGGAGATGACCAGAGACTGCAGACACAGTACAGGAGATGACCAGAGACTGCGGACACAGTACAGGAGATGACCAGAGACTGCAGACATAGTACAGGAGATGACCAGAGACTGCAGACACAGTACAGGAGATGGCCAGAGACTGCGGACACAGTACAGGAGATGACCAGAGACTGCGGACACAGTACAGGAGATGACCAGAGACTGCGGACAGTACAGGATATGACCAGAGACTGCAGACATAGTACAGGAGATGATCAGAGACTGCAGACATAGTACAGGAGATGACCAGAGACTGCAGACATAGTACAGGAGATGACCAGAAACTACAGACACAGTACAGGAGATGACTGCAGACATACTACTGGAGATGATCAGAGACTGCAGACATATTACAGGGGATGAACAGAGTTCAGCAATGCACAGATGTATAGTTTGTGAAAGGCAGCTCAGGGTTTGGTATAACAGTCCACAGGCAGTCTATGGGGGAAGGACATACCTGACCAGCCATGCTCAGCATTTTCTCTGAGGTCCGGGGCTCCCACTCACATCACAACTTCTACTACAGCAGCTCCCTCTTGAGCATACAGGCTGCATGGGGTGGGGTCAGTGGAAGTTCCGGACCTGGCTTTCCCCCTCTCTCTGCTAGCTGGCCTGGTATTCTAACACAGCGGTGGTGACAGGGGTGGGGGGGAGGACTGGTCAATACTCACTCCATAAGACACACAGACATTTCCCCCCATTTTTTTGGGTGGGAAGCGTGTCTTATGGAGCGAAAAATACTGTATTTTATTGAAATCTGAAGGGATAAAATATTTAAAATTACTTTTGTGAATGCATTAGTAAGCTAAAGCTTATATCAAATTTTAGTGATTGGGTTTACATACACTTTAACCATCTCCCCCCTGGCCTAATGACAAATGATGGCCAGGTGGGAGCTCTCTCATTCTGGGTAGATGTCAAATGACATCCTCCCCAGAACTCGCCCCACGTGGGCTCCATGAGCCATGCCACAGCACAATCTCTCACCCGCTGTGTGACAGATCACTTTACTGGACCGTTCCTGGTACAATGTGATCACTGTGACCAATAACAGCATATCAAATGACAATTGTTCACAATGGATGACTTTCATTTATGCTATCTATTGTGTACTATTGTGATGCTCTCTTTGATTGGTCACAATGATCACATGGTACAGTCAGGGCCATTCACAGCCCATCTGTACCATGTGATTTGCTGTGGCTAATCACACTGAATTAATCAATTTCATTCAGTAGAAATTATTGTTTATAAAAGTTAAATTCATAATGTGTAACAAAAAAATCCTGATCACCTCCCCAGAGTAGTACAATGTTATTATGGAAACACTGTATTATTCTGGATGCAGTATGTTAAAAAATAGTAAAAAAAAAAGAAAGAAAAAAGTAATAAAAAAGAATATAAATATTTACAAAGATTTAAAAAAATATACAGTTTTTTTTACATACTGTCACCAGTTAGTGTTCCTGATAACCGCCACACTAGCTATTGTAAAATGTAAAAATGTTATTTTCAAATTGTGTTCCAATAAAGGTTGATTTTTAGTTAACCACTTGCCTACTGGGCACTTTTACCCCCTTCCTGCCCAGGCCAATTTTCATCTTGCAGCTCTGTCGCACTTTGAATGACAATTGCCCGGTCATGCAACACTGTACCCAAACATTTTTAACATGCTTTGAGACAGATAGATTTCTTTTGGTGGTAATTATTGACCACTAGGTTTTTTTTATTTTTTGCTAAAAATTAAATGAAAATTAAAAAAAAAAGTTTTTCCTTTGTTCCTGTTATAAAGTTTTGTAAATAAGTAATTGTTCCCCTTCACTGATGTGCACTAATGAGGCTTCAGTGATGGGCACTGATAGGCTGCACTGATGGACACAGATAGGTGGCACTGATGAGGAGGCACTGGTAGATGGCACTGATGGGCATTGACAGACATCACTTGTGGTCATTGTCAGGCATCACTGATGGGCACTGAAATGCAGCACTCATATGTGGCACTGATAGGAGGCACTGATGGGCACTGATAGGCGGCACTGATGGGCACTGATAGGCAGCACTGACGGGCACTGATAGGTGGCACTGACTAGCACTGATAGGCAGCACTGACTGGCACTGATAGGTGGCACTGATCGGTAGCACTGATAGGTGGGACTGACTGGCACTGATAGTTGGCACTGAAAGGCAGCTCTGATATGTGGTATTGATGTGCACTGGTAGGCACTGATATGCGGCATTGATGGGTACTGGCAGGTGGCATTGATGGGCACTGACAGATGACATTGATGGGCACTGACAGGTGGCACTGATGGGGCGATAAGTGTGAAGACTGCCAATAACCGGCATTCCCTTGTTTACATGCGATCAGCTGTGACTAGACACAGCTGATCACATGACAGAGCCTCTGTCATTGGCTGTTTACTCTGATCGGTGATCCGCTGTGTCCCAGGGATCCTGCTTACCAACAGTCGCCGCACCGCCTGCCACCGGGGATACACATGCACAGTTAGAGCGGAAGGACGTCATATGATGTCTTCCCAGAACGAGAGAACCGCCGATCATCCGTCATTTCCGTATATGGTGGGCAGGAGACGGTCAAAAACTACTTGGGTCACTAGTGGTACCTTTTTTTTTTAACGGTCTTTCCTTAAATTATCTTTTTGCTCTATATTTATAAGGTACAATGACCCACATCCCATTGGTGAGTTAGTGGATAGAAGCTGATTGGCTAAACCTATTTTCCCCTTTTTATGGTGTTGCTGTTTTTAGTTTCAGCTAATACTATATTGTTGACTGCAGGAACTTACCCACACATGCAAGTTTGACATGTGCATTTGGGACTGTGCTGCACCCTTGTCAAACTCAGATGTGCTGATGAGCCCATACAGTTGCTGCATTTCCAATTATTAACAGAGTCTGTCTGCCTGCAGAGCCACACTACTCCAGACACATAAACAAAGGGCTCTTGGCAGGCTGTATAAAACTCTGCACCCATGAGCCCATCTTCTTATGTTATAAACCTACTTTTTCATGTACAAATTACTTTGTTTATTATGCACTGTCCTTTGGTTTGAATGAGACCTTTTTGCAAGACAGTAAATATTTAATTGAAACATGAACACTTGTGCAAAGCTGTTTTGGCCTGGGTGACTAGTTTTTATGATACACAAATGATCCAGAAAGCATAATAAATCAATGCATTCTGTAACTTCCCATGAACAGATTCTGATTAAGCATATTTCCTTATGCTCTACATAGCATTTTAAATTTCCTCTGTGACTTAAACTGTGATCTGCTTATCAAAGATGCCTAATTTCCATGAAAAATGCAGTAAGGCTGACATAGGCATTGATTTTGTTATCTTTCCATTAAGAGCCGCTAAACATGCAATACTTAACATTCTGACAACAGTCAGCAGTTGCAGTCATACAAAATACTTTTTTATTCAAGACATATCTGTCCTTTAAAGTGTACTTGTAATTTGCTCATGAAGCACAGAGCAACAGGTTTGCTTTAATCTTCTCCTCCCCAGCAGCACATACTTACCTTTTCTTCACTTCCCCATGGCTCCATTTAGTTGTTAAAAGCATTTAACATATTAAAAATTCAAGGTATTCGGGGGTGTGGCCTGGTGCCCAGAGGAGATGGCGGCGTAACACCTGAGCTCCGTGTCCGCTGGAGAGTTTTTGCTGCTTTTTTGGGTCACTGACTGCACGATGGGCAAGGTAGGCAGGTCCCTGCCTTTCACTAACACTCCCGCTTGGGCAAAAATCTCCTGGAGATTTTCCGTACCTAGCCCACAGAAACACAGGGGCCTTCACCTCCTCCCACATGCAGGGAGGCTGATGAAGCCTCGGCCTTGCATAGTGGCTCCAGGCCACGTCCTTGCAAGCGGAACACAGAAGCGATGCTCTCTATTATTAAACAAGTGCCCAAGATGTGGGATCTGCAATCCATAGCAGCAGACATCAAAAAGGCCTTAGCGGAGGCAGTGAAAACCCTCAAAGAGGAACTCAGGGGTGTTTTGGACAGGCTAATGGAGGTGAAGCAGGCGGCAGGGAGACATGATATGGACATAAGTGAACTACAATACCATGCAAGCCAATATAATGTGCACTTTATTGAAATGCATAGGAAACTGGAGGATCTTGATAACAGGGGACGGAGAAACAACCTTAGGGTTCGTGGAATTCCTGAGTCAGTGGAATATGTACAGATACCAGTGGCCCTTCAATCTCAATTTAACACCTTGCTAGACAAACCTCCAAATTTGCCAATAGTTTTGGATCGCGCCTACAGGGCTCTTCACCCTAAGAGCAGAGAGGGAGAACCACTCAGAGACATTATATGTTGTTTTGCAGATAATCGATTGAAGGAGGAGATCTTTTAAAAAGCCGGAGTCAGGAGGAATTTACTTTTAATGGTGTGGAGGTGAAAATATTTCAAGATCTTTCCCCAATAACTATGCAACATAGAAGAGCCCTTAGGCCACTGCTTAAGATCTAACGAGAACGCCAAATTCCGCTTTCCGTTTGGCCTCACAGCTACGCTTCAGGGGAGAGCTTACAGCATCTATACCCCAAAGATTTTCCACAATTCTTTGAATGGCTGCATGTCACTCCAGTCCCACTTCCAGAATGGTACCAAGCATTCCAGATACCGGATACTGTATATGGAAGGAATCTCTCCAGGTTCCTGACTTGCGAACATCTAGACGAAAAGGAACTCTGATTCCATATCATAGAAGTCGCCTGACGGATGTGTCTGAACTGTGCCAAGATTAATATGGTTGTCTGTCCTACTGAAATACTGACATTGCTCATTTTTGTGGAGGTGGCTTGGTGACTTGACCTTCCCATGGCCCTCTTGCCTGTCACGCTGCATGCGTCATGTAGCTTTTTCTTGCTCATGACCTGTGTCCTTCAGTAATCCTTATGGGCTTTGTGTAGTGATATCTGAAATGTCTTGGCCCCATCATGTGCTGGTTTCCCTTTGGAGGGAATGGTTTCTGTGTATGAGAGGTCCTGTTTTGCTATGTTTCCGGATTTTATCTGTCTTCCCGCCCCCTCCCTCCCTTGTGTCTCCCCCCCCCCGAATATGATTTTTTTTTTAGCTTTTCTTCTTTCTCCCTTTTTTTTCATCCTTTCCTCCTTCCCCTGGCCCCTTTCCCTCCCACTTCCGTCCCTTCCCTTTTTCCATTTTGGCTGGGTTGTTGGGGGGTTGGGTGGTATGACTGACGCCGGTGGCGCCATTAGGATCCTCGGGAATACTAGATGATATATATCACCTTCTTCACATGATGGGTAGCAGGGGACTTTGGAAATAAAATTCTACTGTGGCCCCGATTTGCTGATTCTTTGTATCAGATCACGAGTAGGATTCTTGGCTCTTGCGACGATTAGTGTACTTTACTATATCTTTGTTTCAGCTGTCCTTTATGTCATAGACACTTTCTATATGTCAGATTTATTGAATATTCTGGTTGGGGATGACATGAAGACTGCTTTCATCAGAGGGTTTGTACAGTGATAGCACACACTGTTCATTCTATTAGAGCTCAGTTGGGTAGTTTGTATACTTCAATGGAAGATATCACATCTCAATTTGTTCACTATTACGAAAAATTATATAACCTATCGACGTCGGGGGAGCCTTTAGGGAATGCCCTTGACCGAGCGAGTGAGATCCAGGCGTTCCTTGATCAGTATGGTGTCCCTCCTTTATCCCCTGACGCAGCACGGTCCTAGAAGTACTCATCTCAGTTGAGGAAGTTTTGAAGGCTCTTAAGAGCATGAAACCAGGGAAAAGTCCAGGTCCGGATGGATTGCCCACTCTATACTACAAAACGTTTCAGGAGTTGCTTCTCTCCAATTTTGTGCGAGCGTTTAATTCGTTGGAAGAGAATTTGCCACTCCTAGCCCAACTTTTAGAGGCTCATGTGACTGTTATTCCAAAACCTGGTAAAGACTTAATGCATGTTCAAAATTCTCGTCCCATTTCCCTACTAAACGTAGATGTGAAGTTGTTCGCAAAAGTTCTTGCTATTCGCCTTTTGCCTCACCTTAAGTCGTGGGTGGCATTGGGTCAGATGGGCTTTTTCTTGGGAAGGGAGGGCTGAGACAATACAATTAAGGCATTGAACATCCACCACTGGTTGACTGCCTCCAAACACCTTGGGTTCTTTCTTTTTATGGATGCAGAAAAAGCATTTGATAGAGTATCTTGGGAATACATGGCAGCAGTGTTGTCTAATGCGGAACTCGGTACTAAAATGCAGACTTTTATTGGTTCTTTGTACTCCAATCCATCGGCCTCTGTGAAGGTAAATGGCCTGTTATCGAAAGCCTTCTTGATTACAAACGGCACGAGACAGGGGTGTCCCCTGTCCCCCATTATTTTTGTGTTGACACTAGAACCTTTTTATGACAGATTCATCCGGATCCGGATATAGTGGGGATAACAATCAGATCACGCTGTTATAAGGTGGCAGCCTTTGCGGACAATGTCCTTCTGTTTCTTTCTTGTCCAATAACTACCCTTGCTGCGTTACTAAAGGTGATCAAGGACTATCAACGGTTGTCGAATTTCAAACTAAATCTGAAAAAATCGCATGCTCTTAATGTTACACTCCTGAAGGATACGGTAGATCAGTGCCAACGGGAATTCCCATTTGAATGGCAGGTGAAGGGCATTACTTATCTAGGGATCATCTTGCTGGCATCTCTGTTGGATCTGTATGATCTCAATTTCCACTCTTTGCTTCGCAAAATAGATGATGACTTAACTACCTGGAGTGGTCTCCATCTTTCTTGGTTTGGCAGAGCGGCGCTGATAAAAATGATGGTATTGCCACAATGTACCTCATGCAGACTATTCCAATTTCCCTTCCCCAAATCTTTTTCTGTACGGCTCGGTGCCTATTCTCCAGATTTATTTGGAAAAGTAGCACCCCTAGTATGAGTTTATCTCAATTGTGCTAGCCGAAGAGTAAGGGAGGGCTGGGAGTGCCAGTCCTTGAAACTTATCATAGAGCCTATCTACTCACTAGAGTGGTGGATTGGCACATACATGCACAGATGAAGGATTGGGTTGGACTGGAACAGAAGATTGTGGATGGACTTTTGGTGTCCATACCTTGGTTACCCGCATCAGCTACGGATAGACGCTTAGTGAACCAGCCGCTCATTGGAGCGTTCTTGTCAGGTTTTAGAAAGGTTTGTAGGGCTGGGAAGATTTCCTCTATACCGAGTCTGATGACTCCTGTTGCAGACAACCCAGCCTTCACCCTGGGCTTACAGCCTTCTTTTTGTAAGGTTTGCATTGCCGCTGTCCTTACCAGACCTGGAGATTTCTTTTATAACGGTAAATTTTGCTCAATGGTGGGTTTAGCCCATAAAGATTTTCCACCACCCTTTCAATGGTGGTCTTACATACAGATTAGACATTTTCTACTGGGTTCGTCCCATCATGAGATGTGTGGTCGGACCTGTACATTTTTTGAGATGCCTTGCCTGTCCAGGGAACCGCACAGGCACTTAATCTCTTTGATATACCTTAATTTTCAG